CAGTTAGGTTTCACTTTGACCCGAAAGCCTGCAGGAGTCATGGGCAGGGTGTGAGGGGAGTGGGGAGGGGGTGCGCTCTGCAATGAGGAAGTTCGGCTTAAAGACACGTCCCAGAGGGGTTTCTGGTCCCAAAAGGTGTTTCTGGTCCCCACCTGTCGTTTTGCTCCTCAGCATGGCTTCATAAAAACACTGCAGGATTTCTCAAACATGCATGAATGAGTCAGAGCAAGGCTTTGGACTTCCTGTTGGACTTCCTGTTTCACTTCAAAGTGAAACAGGAAGTGACATAAAGGGGAACCCTTTAACAAAGACCAGAGAGTTTTCTTTGTTAAAGGGTTCCCCTTTGATGTAAACAGGAAGTGACATCAAAGGGGAACCCCATTAACAAAGACCAGATTTTTCTTTGTTAAAGGGTTCCCCTTTGATGTCACTTCCTGTTTCACTTCAAAGTGAAACAGGAAGTGACATCAAAGAGGAACTATTTAACAAAGACCAGAGAGTTTTCTTTGTTAAAGGGTTCCCCTTTGATGTAAACAGGAAGTGACATCAAAAGGGAACCCTTTAACAAACAGGAAGTGACATCAAAGGGGAACCCTTTAACAAAGACCAGAGAGTTTTCTTTGTTAAAGGGTTCACCTTTGATGTAAACAGGAAGTGACATCAAAGGGGAACCCTTTAACAAAAACCAGAGAGTTTTCTTTGTTAAAGTGTTCCCCTTTGATGTCACTTCCTGTTTCACTTTGAAATGAAACAGGAAGTGAATCAAAGGGGAACCCTTTAACAAAGAAAACTCTCTGGTCTTTGTTTATTAAAACAATATTATTTGAACTTTAACTCAAAATAATCTTAAACATCAGATTCTTCTCTACACTTTATTAGTTGCTGTAGCAACGCTCTGTTCACATACAGACATTCCCTGTTTGACATCACTTCCTGTTACTTCACATGCAAATATCTCAACAACTGTTCATCTCAGCAACATGAAATTTGCAATATTTTATCAATATCCTCTTCCTAAAAATGCATTCATATGTATTACAAAAATTTGACGTTGCAGGTACTTTAATCGTAGTAATCGTCTAGTGCCAAAAAATAATCGATTGTCTTTCTGGCGATTAGTTGCACACAATACGATTATACCCAACTCTAATTTTAAAAAGGCAAAGGAAAAGTTAATGAAATGAAAACAAACTGAAGTTGACTGTTGTGTTTTTAGCCGTGTATGATTTATAGCTCTGCCTCTGCAGCTGCTGTGTAAATATTGACTCAGAAGGCAGACAGTTATGAAAATCAGTTAAATAACCTGAGGTAAACAACCACAGAAAAAGCTGCACATAAACAGAAATGTTCACAGTTCTTTTTATCAACTTTCAGATGTGAGTTTAAGAACATTAAACACATATGATGTGGTTTAGACAGGCAATATTTTTTACTTTAGGAAAATATCTTTACTGCACTGAAAGAAATCCTTAATTATCAACTAAACCCAAAATTAGTCTGATTTCATGCAGCAATGTGTAAGGCTGATTTAATCTGACATTTCAGGAGTTAAGCTTCTAATTATCATGAAGACTGGGCCT